GCCCCAGTGACACGGAGCAGGAAAACTGCCTTTAACCTCTGCCCAAGGAACCAGGTAAGTGGCAAAGCCAAGACTCAGCCACACACTGCGCCAGGCTCTGGGGAGTTACACAGCAGCAGCAGCTCTATGAGCGTGGAAGGCACCAGAGACTCAACCACTGGGAATCCTGGAGCAGTCTGAGGCCGGTCAGGGGCTTGGGGACAGGAAAAGGTCCCTTTTTCAGGGTGGTGGGACACGGGAGAGGCACAGGATTTGCACTTACACTTTGTACAATCCCAATTCAGCCCTTTGTCAGCCATTTCCATGCTGCTTCTGTGTTATCTCCACCCTCTCCTCCTCCTCCAGAGGCCTGAGTTGGTTCCCTGACAGAGAGCAGAGACAAGCTCCCTGCGGGACAGAGGGAACGCCACAGAGCTGCTCAGGTGCCACAACCCAGGTCTCTTGGAGCACCAACAGCAAAACTGAGCAGGTCTGGAACCTGCTGGCAGAGGGAACGTGCCTCCAAACTGGCACTCAAGAACAAACCCAGATGTTTTAACTGTGCTCAGCACTGGATCTGAGGGTACCAAGGGCAGCTCTGGCCCCACAGCCCTATGTGTGTTGTGAGCAGGGCTCACTGCACGGTTCGAGGAGGCCCCAGGAAGCAGCAGCACAGGAGCAGGGTCAGTTTGCTGCCACCTCCTGCTAAGAGGGGCTCAGAGCCTCAGGGTTTAGGGGGAGGTGGATCCACAAAAGGCAGATTTGGCTTTAGCCACAGAGCTGGGGCTGGGAGTAGTGTGGAAAGCAAAGAACAGCACTGGGATACGTGCTGCTGGAAGGAATTTCCACTAGCTTCTGCGTTCTCCTGCTAATACTTCAGGAATGGAAAAGTGTGTGCACATAAACTCTTTTCCTTAAGCTGATGTAGGTGTAGGGCAGAGGCTCAGTTCCAGCTGTGCTCAGAGCCACATCCCAGGGAGGGCTCCAGAGGCTTCCACTGCAGTCCGTGTCCAAAGGATGACAAGACTCCCCGTGGTCCTCGTCTGAACCCCTCCGTGTATTCTACCAGACACTCATCAACATTACAGCAATGGAACCTATCACGAATAAATAGACCTGTCCTCTTCCACAAGTTCTCCTGCGTGGCTCGACACCAAGAAGTGCTGAAGGTCCTCTTGGCATGGTTTGTGTCGGAGGTTACGGCTGGTGGGAAGACCTACCAGAGCTGGGGCTGCCGGTGGCTGAAGTGGGAGCTGAGGAGAACAGGAGCTGAGGAGGATCACTGGTACTGCCTGTAGTCGCCAAAGGGAGAGGGCGAGGGAGCGGGTGGCAGCTGGGAGGGGTCGTCTGAGAACTGGGGGCCTGTGACAAGGCAAGAGGGGAAAAGGCAAGGAGTTAACAGCAAAGCCAGGGGATCCCCCCCCAAAATCCCTTTGCAAACTGCTGAAGCCAATAACATTGGGGTTTGTTCTCATTCCAGCTGCTTTGTGCATCTGACATTGAGAGAGCTGGGCTGGGGCAGCTGGAGAAGAGAAGGCTCCTGAAGGGGACACCTTAGAGCAGCTCCAGTGCCTAAAGGGGCTCCAGGAGACCTGGAGAGGGGCTTTGGACAAGGGCCTGTAGGGACAGGACAAGGGGAATGGCTTGAACCTGCCAGAGGGGAGACTGAGATGAGCTCTGAGGCAGAAGCTCTTCCCTGGGAGGGT